AAAAAAAAAAAAAAAAAAAGAACACATCTTAATAAGAAAAGAAATGTGATACAACAACCAAAAAGCAATACCACAACACTTATAAATCAACATAAAAGCAACAGAGATCTCCTATTTTTATTAGGCTCCAGTTTTCATTAACACTCTCAAATTCTTTTTTTGTTAACTATTAACAACTTCAGCATCAAATAAATCACTTTGTCCATAGACAAAGCTAATAAAAAAAAAAATCAATCACAATTTCAATTTACCAAAGCATGTAAATAGGGCATGATGGAGTACGAAACTTGGGGTTCGAACTCCGACTGCAGGTCTTCTTCTTAGAGGATTTCCGGCGTTTATGGACGGTTGGAGCGATGGTGTTTCTCGACTGGAACCATAACTCGGCGATTTGTGATCGCCGGCCATGGGGCATGTTGGGGTTCAAAACGAATCGACTCGTCGTTTGCGAGCCTTCTTTCTTCGAGATTTTTTTAAGTCAGTTCGATGGTGGTGGCGCTGCCATGGCCCCTTCTCCTGATCTCGCCGACGATCTCCCCTTCCTCCGCATCCGACTCGTCTCTGCCAGGATCTGATTCTGAATAGAGGAGGGGTTCATGATTTTGGGGGGTTTCACTTACTGGGCTATAATAATGGGTTAATTTCCATTTGTCTAGAAGTTTATGGATGGCCCAATTCTGTAAATTGGAAGAAGAAGAATAGAAAGAGAAGAAAAGGAATGAAAATTTTGAAAAAAAAAAAAAAAAACTAAAAATCCCCAAATAAAATGGAAACACCGGTTACTGGTATAAAATAATTAAAAATTTGAAAAATGGGTATAAATGAAAATGAAAAGGAGTATAATTGTTTAAATAGTGACCAAAGGTTTTGTTGAAAATTGTGTACAGGAATAGTTAGAGGGCTGTCAATTTTTCGATAACGACTCATGTCATGCTCGGGTCGGGCCTGGCTGGCCTACCCGTCTTGGTCTCCTTCTCGAGCACACTTTGTCAGCTACATTCATGGTCTTGAACCATTAGTGCCTGTAACCATTTCCGATTATGAAATCAACTACCCATTCATGGGCAATCGTTTCCACCCCATTTATTTGCTTAACCCGTAGAAGTTTCTCGAGCTCCACAGCTCTACAAACTGTCGTCAGCAAGCTACCTGCGCGCAATCCGATTTACAATTTCCTTCCCGAAACTCAGAATCCTAACAACCTTGTTTCTCTCGTGTGCTCCTCGCTCAAGCACAACGATCATTCCGTTTGGGACCATCTCCGGGAGCAGGGGCTGTTCAGTCATTTCACCGTCCATGAGTTCTCGAGGGTTCTGCTGCGATGCCAGTCTGATTCGTCCGCGGCCCTCACTTTCTTCAATTGGGTAAGGTACCAAATGGGTTTTGAACCTGGTGTCCTGAATCGCTGCACTATGGTTCACATTTTAGTGTGGTCTAAAGATTTTAAGCAAGCTATGAAGATGCTGCTGCAATTAGTTCGTTTGAATGAAAATAGAAATGGGAGTGTTGAAAGAAAATTGAATTTGTTCCAGAGCTTGCTCTCATGTACCGATGACTGTAACTGGGACCCCGTTGTGTTTGACATGCTCATCAAGGCTTATCTCAGGGTGGGCATGGTTGGAGAGGGTTTTCGAGCATTTAAGAAAATGATTAGGCTGGGGTTCATTCCAAGCATTGTTACTGTTAACTATCTTCTGAACGGGCTGTCGAAGATGAGTTATGCAGGAAAATGTTGGGAAATTTATGAAGAGATGAGGAATATTGAGTTACAACCCAACACGTGTACGTTTAACATATTGACTTACGTCTTGTGCAAGGAGGGTAATGTGGATAATGTGAACAAATTCTTGGAGCGTATGGAGGAAGAAGGATTCGACCCGGATATTGTAACATATAATATGCTCATTGATAGGTATTGCAAGAATGGGAGGTTGAAGGATGCGACGTATTTGTATAATATCATGTGTGCAAGAGGTTTCATACCTGATTTGATCACCTATACGGCCTTGATGAATGGGTTATGTAAGGGAGGTTGCGTGAGAGAGGCTCATCGATTGTTCCATCTGATGGTTCGTAAAGGGTTAGTGCCCGATGCTGTTTCGTACAATACACTAATCTATGGATATTCCAAAGAAGGGATGATGCAAGAGGCAAGATACGTATTATTTGACATGATTGGGAACAGAGTATGTCCTGATAATTTTACTTGTCAGATGTTGATAAAAGGATATCAAAATATGGATAGAATGATATCTGCACTGAATCTTGTGGTGGAGCTCACGAGGTTTGGTGTTATGATTTCCCGAGACACACATATTTTCTTGACGGTTGCTTTATGTAAGGACAATAGGCCATTTGCGGCAAAATCTCTCATGGAGCAGATGTCGAGAAATGGTTACGAACCGAGTGAGGAGCTGTACAATGAGTTGATTGATTCTCTTTGTAGAAGCAAATTTGTGAAGGACGCATTAGAGCTGAAAGTGGAGATGGTGACAAAGGGTTTGAAGCCTAGTTTGAGTGCATATAGAGCTATTATTGGAGGTTTGTGTGAATTAAGCAAAAGCGTAGAGGCTTTGTCCTTGATGCAAGAGATGGTTGAATCTGGTTTGCCATTAGATGTTTGTATCTGCAGAGCTTTAGTGAATGGGCTGTGTAAAGAGAGAAATCTTTTAGAAGCAGAATCACTTCTAAGCTTTTGGGCCATAAAGTTCCAGATTTTTGATGGAGAATGCTACAATGCACTTATTAGGATACTCTCTGAGGAAGGTAACCCGTCACAATTAATGGAATTCCAAGATAGGATGGCAAAATCAGGATTTGTTCCAAATAGTCTTACGTGCAAGTATGTAATAAATGGAATGTGGAAAGCAATGGGAGCACAGAGTCAGGAGCTTCTGGTGGAATAATGTTGTATTGCTTTTCCGGGCCTCTTCAATTTTCAATTTTCAAGCACAACAAGTGAAAGCGTAAGTTCATAATTTGCTGGCAAAACTTGTATGAAAAATGTGAAAGTAAATACACACGAGATTTTAATCATTGTAATTTTCTTTCTTCAGAACTTGGATAGGTTTATTCTAGCACTTAAACTCGAACGAAAGGAGCTTACGATTTAAATAGTTAAATTTGAGTTCCATTATTGCCATATGAAATTTCTTGCCGAAAGCGGATTCTTGTACGGTAGCACTTGAGGGAGGTGGTTCGGCTACCTTTTCCGTCGTGTTTGCGGATGGAACAGAAAAAATTTCTTTATCTCAACACTTAGGTGTAGATTATTATTATTATTATTATTATTATTATTATTATTATTATTATTATTATTATTATTATTATTATTATTATTATTATTATTATTATTATTATTATTATTTAGTGGCTTTGTGGATAAGTTAATGTTTAGGGTTAGGAGCCTTATATAAAGGACTTCCTCTAGTTTATTTTTTTTGCTTGATTTTGAATGAAAAAAATGAATTAATTGTGAGTTTTACGTGTTTTACGAGAGAGTATCTCGTCTACTCGTTTACTTCCCATTCGTACGCTCCCCTACATCAGTTGGTATCAGAAGTCAGCACGATTCAAGATGCCGCCGCCGAAGGACGACATCGACGGGCGTGACGCCACCATTGAGTATCTGGGTCGACAAGCCACGAGCTTCGGTCGCCAGATCAATCAATTGGATCGTCGGGTTGAGGATCTTTCGACGAGGATCGAAGAAGTGCGTCTTACGATCAACAACGTGGTTGAATATTTGCAATCGAACCGTGACGCAGGCAACTGGGGCGTTGGCGGGGGAGTTCACGGAGGACGTGGAGGCCATGGTCCAGGCGGGGCGCCCCGCCGGAGATCTCCCCAACCACCATCCGGCGACGAAGACGGCAAGGATACCATCTCGGAGGTGAATTCCTTCGGTGAGTGGCAACCTTCGCACGTCGAGGCTGACCCCTTTGCTGCATACGGCGGCCGTGACATGTGGCGATGGGGCCCGGTCTTCGTGGACGGCACGATCAACGTTACGGCAGAGACAGGCGCGAGGAGACTGCCTTCGCTAGCGGACATCGTGCCCGACGCGATTAGGGACTTGATCGCGAATATGGTCAATGGGAAGGCCCGTTTCGCGTTGACATCCCTAAATTCTACAGTGATCAAGTTGACGGGCTATTGTACATCCCTGAATTCTACAGTGATCAAGTTGACGGGCTATTGTACGACGGTCCGCCGATCTTTGATGAAGAGCCTCCGATGACGGAGAATAATCTTTGCGGGGACATGGGAATCAATGAGAATGCAGTGGTCTGCATGGAAGGAGATTGTTTCAAAATTCGTAGTGGATCAGTATTAATATGTATATTCAAACATTGATACACCAATTGCTTGTGATTCATGTGATATATTGTATCACGTTTTTTGTGTGGGAATTGATCCTAAAGGCAGATGTGTTGGCTCTTGGTTGTGCCCGAGAGTCTCAGTATCTGTTGTTGCTGATGATGGTGACACGGTTGTAGTCGTATCCTTGTTTGATAAAAATCAAGAGTGTGTTGCATTGGTTGGGCGATGTTCAACTTTCGTGTTTGACCGGGGAAAACGACGGGGGTTTTCTACCATGGATTCAACACCACTGGCCGGCCACGGGAGCGCATCGGCTTCAAGGGCGAAGCCTTCGGGTGAGAATGGTGTAAATTATTATTATTATTATTATTATTATTATTATTATTATTATTATTATTATTTAGTGGCTTGGTGGACAAGTTAATTGTTAGGGTTAGGGGCCTTATATAAAGGACTCCCTCTAGTTTATTTTCTTTGGTTGATTTTGAATGAAAAAAATGAATTAATTGTGAGTTTTACGTGTCTTACGAGAGAGTATTTCGTTTACTCGTTTATCTTCCTATTCGTACGCTCCCCTACATCAACACTTAATACTATGCCATATTCATCTTCATAGCTTTGGAAAAGACCTTCAATCCTACCTTCCGGCATTGCTATAAAGTGTTGACACTTGACAAAGCAGAGTGAAAGTCACCACATCAAGAGAGAGGGCAGGGGAAAGACCTGGACATTGAGAGGCGGACAACGAGGTCGCTCGAACACTGGTACTGATAACGAACCACAAGCTAGAGGCCAGATAGAAGGTTGCTCATCCAGCCCAGTGGGATGCATTGTTTATGCGGTATGATATCATTCTTCGATCGATTCAAAGGCAGTTCGTCCACACTTTGTGTTGTTACAGGGTAAAAATGACATAAGGGCTGTGCTTCTATGCTGCTTGGCGAGAAGTTAGGTTGGTTGATGGCCGCGCTCGGTCTGTCTTCCTAGGTTAAGAGCGCTTACTCCTCGATAGGCCATTTACTCTTTAAGTTGGAATAGTTACATTGATCGTTGAGTGCAATAGTTACATTGATCGTTGAGTGCAACAATCCTTTCCTTTGACACTGGTTTCGTAAACGAGTGAAAAATGCCTAGTGAGTGTAGGGTTTCAGCCAGTCCAAGAGTTCAGTTTACTTCGGGGCCTTCACTCTCGTTTTCTCATTCTCGGGAGAAGGCATCGGGGGAGCAGGGCTAGGGGGTAGGGGATAAAGATTTTCGAGCCTGATTATTCTCCCCAGCTTTGACTTCTATTAAACGGAAGTGGTGAGGGTCGAGCTTTAAAAAGGTTCGACCTGAAAATGCGAAAGCTTCGAATATTAGAGTTGCTGTCTATGCAAGTGTTGATGGTGCAAGTGCCTCGTGCATATTGCTGGATCGGGCTTTCGCTTTATTTTAAAGGAGAAAGACCTGCAGTTTACTTTGTTGAGTCCGTATTCCTAAAGAACAAATAGGTCTCCTTTTATACCAATTGTAGCAGCAACACAAAAAAGCCGAGACCTCTTAAAGATACAACAAACTCACCATCACGACTTCGTCAGGGGGCGGAAGGCCTATCTATTGTGCTACGCTTCGTTCCTATTCACTTTGAAAATTCAGTAAATCAGCATGCCCTTTTGCTTAACTGACATAAGGTGATCTGTCGTTTTTATAATAATTTTTTTTTATTTAGATTCTACTCTTTTTATATTCTTGAAGCTCAAAGGATATAGCTCCTTACTTCTACAGGAACTACCATTAATGAGCTAATCTCAGGTTGCTTGCACTGTTGAATCTGCCAAAAGTTTGGTCACCCGAGTTTATAGTCATTGATATCCTGTAAGTTAGATTGTTGTGATTAGGAGAATGAGAATGGACATTCCTTTCGATACAAAACACACCAATATTTTATGCAGTTCTGCACTTTTGTAGTTTTTTCTGCTTCTAAATGGTGTAATTGGAATCTGCTTCAATAATTAGCATTCTGGAAGTTTACCATGATGAGATGTTTGCATCCAGTCTTGAGATGTCAATTGATGGTAAAATGGTGTTTTCTGTGGTTAGTGATATCCCAAACGTGTCTCAACTTAAAATGTCTTTTATGCAATCTGAATAACAGTTAGGTGGTTTGTCACTGTTGTGTGGCAGACCAACAATCCCCAAAACTATCTCTTACCAAGTACATGAAGCCACCCCCCTCACCTATTCCCAAAAAGAATGAAAAATTAACATGGAAATCTGAAATGTACAAATAATCAAAATTGAGTTATTGGTGGGGCATAGTGGAGTTTTAGAGTTTAACTAAATGGAACTGACACGATTTAGCGGTATGCTAATCGCCATTCGTACTTTTAATGTAAGCTGTTGGCCTTTTGAGCTAGTTGATTGGGACTTTTTAAAGCTTAAGTAGATGATAGGAGTTTGCAAAAGCAGACTGCTCCTGGATTGTTAGTTGATTGTAAGTCTAGATCGCAACCTATCAGACAAGCATCTAATCATCTCAAATTATTGACAGTATCAGGAAAACTTTGAAGCTGTAGCTGGTAAATTCCCTTCTATGAACTAAAGAATGACAGAGAAGTCGGTATTTACATTTTGGATCTTTGTTCATGCATCCGACTGAATTTGTGCATTGCAAGTTTACATTTCTGTTTATAATTTTGTTTTCACAATCCACTTCTGTACGTAAAGAATTTTACCAAAACCATGACTTTATGCATTAAGCCGTTCCACACTTGTACACAAATAGCAGAAACACACAATAAACATTAAAATACACGATCACCACACAATTCATACATTCAGATAACTTTGAATGGCTTTATACACACTGATATTTTGCCTGCCATCTTCCTCAAATCATTGATAATTCATTTTCTCATAATAATTTCTTCTTCATTTGGTTTCGAGCAGACTCTGGAAAGTGGGCTTATTAGTAGTGTGCTTTGACATTGCAAGCTCAAGTGGTGTCAAAGGAAAAGAAGGGAGATTGATTGTCTGCTCCGGTTCATTGGTCCATCCCCTTGAGAGTATGGTGCTTGCACAACCATCCAAACCAATGTGAGTCACATGCTTCACATCTGTCGGGAATCCGATCTCAATCCCCATATCTGTTTCTTTGAACTCATCTTTGTAAGCTGAAAAGAGGTAAATCCGGAGTCACCTATGTACATACATTAGTACATGTGTGTGTGTGTGTGTTAATGGAAGGGATACTATGTTGTCATAAAACAAGTAAAAGAGAGAAGAGAGAGTTGGTT